TACAGAGAGACAGTTGTCGAGCTCTAACCAACTGAGCTACAGAGAGACAGTTGTCGAGCTCTAACCAACTGAACTACAGAGAGACAGTTTTCAAGCTCTAACCAACTGAGCTACAGAGAGACAGTTGTCAAGCTCTATATAACCAACTGAGCTACAGAGAGACAGTTGTCAAGCTCTAACCAACTGTTCATATATGAATACTAAGATGATGCCAATGTATGATGTGTCCAAATGTTATTGGTGACAGACCTTTCTTATGACATCAAACTTGGAAAAAACACTTATAATAATGCGATGTCCCAAAGGACAATTTTTAGAGACTTCGCAATGTTTTTATGAAATTTATTGGCTCGCCAACAACATACATTGTCCTGCAGGGCATCCCATGATTTGGTTTTCCTCGTTTGATGTCATTATAAGAAAGATCTATGAAAACACATTTTCGCTAAGTGTCCACTAGTAGCTGCAATGGACGGTAATTGGTAGAAAATTACTGATCGTTGCCGGGCATGACCTATGTTTAGTTACATAGATCATTATGGCAATTTACAATCGTTTGGAAAGTATAGATAGTCGGGAAATAAACATTTGAGGTAAACATCTAGCGAAACAACACGTGCAACAATTGTTTGTTTACATCCACATTTCAAAGAATTCAAAAATGTTGGAAATGATTTTATACGATCATGAAACACTCACTGGCTCCTCTTCCCAACCGTCCTCGCCATAATCGTCCATGTTTCAGGTGATAATCACAAATAACTGTTGCATTTTTGCTCAATTTTCCTCCAAATACAATATTATTTTGATGAGAATTCAGTCAATTCACAACATTCTTAACCGGAAATACAGTGACGTCCGGTTCCGGCAGCTTCCGATGACTTCGCGATAGCCTGCGCGCGGGTGGATTATCATTGCATCATTTTATTTCGCAAGAAAATATCTCCGCGGGAAGACGGATAGAAATAAAATTACTTAGAAAAACCTTCAACAAAAGACATGAAATTGTGGTCTACAACTCATACATTCAGGTATATGATACTACATCATCTATAGATGTTTTTATAAAACATGAAAGCATATTTTATATTTTAGAAATATGAGAATTTTATGTTAGTCAGTGAACCATGCTCTTCAGTTAGTAGGAATTTATACTTGTGCGAAAATTATTTAGTTTTAGTTTTAGAACTTTAAATAGTGAAAAATACTTTATAGTGTACGAAATCTTGTTAATTTTAATGTTTGAACTTTGGGCATGTCTTGTTTTAAAGCACAGACAAATTTTAAAAATCATGTCTAAAATTTTGTAAATTTTTGTGTGGTGAACTTTGAACTCTGTATGACTGTGGTGCCACGTCTTCTGAGTTATGTAATTTAGGGTTGGGCAATATTTTAAAAATATCACGATTATCATCTGGGAAATTATCACATTAATCAGTTACTACGTACAAAAAATATATACAAGTTCTTACAAGTCTGCAAACAAGTTTGTCACAAAATCTGTTCACAAGCTGTCGACAAGTTGTGTTCGCACTGCTTGTTCCCAGTTGTTGTAACAAGTTTGGAACAAGCTGTCAACAACTTGTAACAAGCTTGATGGTATTATCGGACTTGTTACAAGGTTGTTCTAACAGGTCTGATGCAGTCGTGTTATAACGAGAATGTTACAAGGTTGATGACACAAGGTTGTAACAATATTGTTATATCATGACTGTATCGGACTTGTTGAAACAACCTTGCAACAAGTCTGATAATATCAACAAAGTTGTTACAAGTTGGTAACAGCTTGTTCCAAACTTGTTAACAACTTGGGACAAGCAGTGCGAACACAACTTGTCGACGGCTTGCTACAAGATGTGAGATTTTTGTGGTTGTCAATTCCACAGCAACTGATGCTTAACTTACAATTTATTTCCTAGACATGCTTGGGAGACGGTGACGCAAGCTGTTTGGAGAAAATATCCAAATGACTACAACCCTCACGTCAAAGCCATTGACGTTATCGACAGACATGTTGACGATGAAGGACGTCTTGTTACTAAGCGAGTCATGGGCACGCAATGGAACTTGCCGTCATGGGCTATTTATTTACTAGGCCTGCAGGACATGTGTTACGGCATAGAACACTCTGTTATTGACCCCAAGGCTAGAACAATGACTTTAAAAGGGAGAAATTTGACATTTTCAGGACTTGTAGGCATTGAGGAAAGTTTGGAATACTCGCAACATCCCGAAGATAAAAATGCGTAAGAATTTTTGTTATTTTTTATTTAATTCCTATCTAGCGACTCTCCTACTGACAATAATATTTGCTTTTTTTTTCAACTAGAACTATAATGAAGCAAGAAGCGGTAGTGACTGTTTTTGGTTTAAGTTTCAGCAGTTATTGTGAGAAACTTATCACAGAGACATACGAAAATAATTCCACAAAAGTAAGGGATTGTATTTCTTTATATTTAAAAATCAAGATAGGATGTTAACCCATTGAGTGGCAAGTAAAATCGTCTGGCGTTAGACAGAGTAAAATACTAAAGTAGGGTGCATTGCCACTTAAAGGGTTAAAATTAGTTTTGTTTACATCTAAGGAGGAACAGTCAGTGATAACAACATTATCTTTTCTCCACCAGGGCAGGCAAGCAATGGAACATGTCATTGGAGTTATAAACCAAGAAATCTCTGACTTAGCCGCCGGTATCGAGCAAGCTACGACAAAACTTAATACAGAAATTGAACACGCAACGGCTGTTATTAATTCTGAACTCAACGACATTGCACAAGGGGCTAAGAGTGGCTTTGAACAAGCAACAAGATTGAATACTGCCTTTTGTGAGCAGACTACTTCATAACAGAAGTGAAGAGGATATACCTGCTCTATACTCTACTACATAAATGATTTTGAGAAGATTGAAAACTGCTTTCTGGGAGCAGTCAATGTAATGGAGTTAGCGAAACAAGCAAGGTTTTGCGAGCAGTTAACTCAATGGCACGAGAATTCAGATGAATGGTCTAGTGGATCTAGTCCTACCAGAGTGTTGATGGTCGACAGGAGGAAGGATGTAAGGCTTATGTTAAGGCTGGTACTATCAAAGTTTCTGTGATCACAGTACGAATTTTGCATAAGTGAATTCTAAGTTTTGAAGAATTTGTAAGAAATGTTTGATGGAACTGATTTGGTGTTTAACATGTAGTCAGCTCTCCCTGAAACATTTCTTTATAAATCCTTCAAAACTTAGAATTTACCTATGCAAAATTCCTATTGTGATCACAGAAACTTTGATAGTACCAGCCTTTATACAAAGTCTTGAAGCTAATGTTTCTAAGTTCATTTATAATAGTAGACAGACAATGACAATGTTTAAATTAATATTATATTTGTATTAATAATAATTTACTCTTATGTAATGCATTAATTCAGCGGTGGTTATGGCTCATTTTTTATCTTATAAAATGGTTGCTTAGATTCTTATTATCTCAACCCTGCTTGCAGAGCCATGCCACCCCTAAAATAATCTCACTTCATCTAAGAAGTCTTATTTGTTTGTAACTAAATTATCATAACTCTCCTTTAAGGAGGTATTTATATTTATTTGAGAACGATTTCCTAATTATAACGTTCAAAACATAGCGACTTGTTCATTGTGTTCTATTATACGTTGTAGCAAAAATTAACAGCAATCGCATTTTGGGGAAAGTGCTGTCGTTCAGTTTATGTTTTTGCTTTACGTGATCAACCAGTTTGTCCCATATGTGCCGTGAAATCTTCAAATTTCTCAATATCTTCTTGTGAGATAGTCTTGTGATTGTGGCTGATGACTTTGAGGAAATCATTCAAACATATTGCTCGAGGTTGAACCTGAAAATATGAGGAAAAACACTTGAACATCCAATGATATACTTTTGTTAAAAATTATCATTTTTTCAATGATATACTTTTTGACATTTGTTATTGCGCCCTACTTTATCATTTTACTCCTTCTAACGCTAAACGATTTTACTCGCGAGGGGATAAAAGGGTGTCCACGGGCCTTGAAAATCCTGGAAAATCCTTGAATTGGAAAAAAGAATTCCAGGCCTGGAAAGTCCTTGAAAATCAGTAGAAGTCCTTTAAAGTCCTGGAATTAATTTCCTTTACCTCCAGCTGTGCCAACATTAGTGATTTTGATAAAAAATACTGAATAAAGTGAATCATTTGCTGGTTAAAGTCTAAAATCCTTGCCATTTTCAAAGATTTTTCCTAGTTCTAGGTCCTTGAATTTACTGAAAAGGGCGTTGAAAGTCCTGGAAAAGTCCTTGAATTTCACCTTCACCAAAGGGTGGACACCCTGTTATTACTCTACGTGGTAGTCTAATTACCATTTGCGGCGGCATTGCTGTTATTTCCAATTCCACGGATCCTTTGGTCTTTTTGGGCGACGGAATATAATGTCCTTCTGAAACAGAAAATAAGTATAGCTGAGTTTCACGAAGCATTATCATACGCAGATTGTGATCAACCTAGAATTACCAGAGTTTATCGAATTTCTCACTCATAAGTGAGCGCATTTCGAGGTATACCTACGATTTTAACGTCCTTATCCGAGAAGACGCGAAAGTCTAACCATTTACTGATGTCAATGTAAAGGTAGCTCTTTCTCCTTGATTATTTTAAGAGCTTGAGTAGAGGTCCGACCAAGGATTCAACCCGGCTCTCCCAGCTTGAAAGGTAAGCGTGGGGACCACAACTGATCCTTTGTAGATTTCTATATAAGATCCATGTTGTTAAACGTGAATCTAATGTGTTCGGGGATTCCATTCATTTCCTTGAACCAGAGTAACGAAGCATGTTTGATATTACACCTGGTTTCCTTGAACTCCTAATTCTATAAACCTTAGCTCTATACCTGTGGTAATTTCCCAGAAATGTGCATCTCGCAGTTCACGTAAAGGTTCAAACATAGCATCAGAAACGCACGAAGCAATGTCACTGCCGGAGAAACCTTCGGTTTTTGCAGCAAGAATCTCCCAGTCTGCGTCACTCAGTGACGTCACTGTATCCTTGATGTGTAGCTTCATCAACGATCTGCGCGCTTCCCTACAACAAATAATTTTTACTGGATAGTTCTAAACTGTTCTCCCTTAAATCCGTTCCGTATCCTTATCTTCTCTCTTATTGATCCGGTGATGGAAACCTAAACTAAACTAACTTTATTTATACTGGATAGCTCTAAACTGTTCTTCCTATAGAGGTCCAGTAAGGATCATCTCTTATTGATCCAGTGTTACTACAGGAGGAAACCTAAACTAAACTAACTTTATTTCTACTCGATAGCTCTATCAGTTTTAAACTGTTCTCCCTAGAGGTCCAGTAAGGATCATCTCTTATTGATTTCGTGTACTACAGGAGGAAACCTAAGCCAACTTTATTTATACTGGATAACTCTATCAGTTCTAAACTGTTCTAATGAGGATCATCGGTTATTCTTACCCATCTGGTAAAGGAATGTAGACACGTTTCTGAAATCGTCTCAAGAACGCGCTATCCAGCTCCCAAGGGCAGTTGGTTGCGCAAAGAAAGAAGATCTTTTCATCTTTGGAAGAAGAACTGTCCGCTCCCTCCATCTGTTTCAAAAGTTCCGTCTTTATTCTTCTCGTGTGTTCTTCCTCGCGTAAATTTCGTTTCCTGCAAATACTGTCGATCTCGTCGATGAAGATCAGCTGAAAACATTCATAGATACCATTAAAATATTAATATGATGCCATATAAGGGCCAAAGCTACTCTGATTGGAGTTCTACGATCCAATGTATTGCCTTTTCAAGCCTTCGTTTCTCAAATAGGAAACCTTTAAAAAAGCAGGACAAAATCACAAAAATCTTGACAAAAAAATAACGACAGATTATAATGTTAGATTTTACACAATTTATTATTCTAACTCACTGATTTCCCGTCCCTTTGTCTTGCGTGGTTAAACAGTTCTTTAATCAATCTATAAGGTTTGTATCAAGTGGTTTACAACACTACACCATAGAAATTTCAATGGTATACGTTTTATCCATAAACCCACTCTACCTTTCACTTTCTCCCACCCAACTGGACACGAGATCCGCACTTGAGACGCAATAAAATGTTGAATCAATTTCAGAGGCAACCGCTAGAAATAACAGCAAGATAAAGATAATGGCTTCGTATATTGTAGTTATGAATAGGTAGATGAAGCACTATCGTCAGCAGATGATGGTCAACCTGCAGTTGTCAAAATAAAAGTATGAAATATTGCAGTGATTATTCAGTAGAATTGTATAAAAAGATCTACACCTTGTGCCAATCTTGTTTTTCCTACAAGAAATTCATATGAAAGTTAGTGTTAATTGTTTTGCACTTTGAACATTCAGGAATCATACTAGCGCATATTTGTGCTGCATACCTGTACCGGGTGGTCCATACAGAAGTATTCTTCTCCAAGGTTTGCGGCCGCCTACACGGGTAAAAATCTCACATCCTGTTGCAAGTCTACCAACAAGCCGTCAACAAGTTGTGTTCGCACTGCTTGTCCCAAGTTGTCAACAAGTATGGAACAAGCTGTTAACAACTTGTAACAAGCTTGATGGCATTATCAGACTTTTTGCAAAGTTGTTCCAACAAGTCCGAATAATTGAATTCAACTGTCCGATTCTGTCATGATATAACAATATTGTTAAAACCTTGTGTCGTCAACCTTGTAACATTATTGTTATATCATGACTGTATCAGACTTGTTAGAACAACCTTGTAACAAGTCTGATAATGCCATCAAGCTTGTTACAAGTTGTTAACAGCTTGTTCCAAACTTGTTACAACAACTGGGAACAAGCAATGCGAACACAACTTGTCGACAGCTTGTAACAACTTGTTTTGTAACAACTTGTTTGCAGACCATAGTGCGTTTTACCTTGACCCGCTTGATGAGAGTTTTCCCTACGCTCGTGGTAATATCCAGTCAACTCTATCAACTCTCATGCAACTCTTGTTCTCCTTTGACTGGGACATGAGAGTTGAGAGAACTCGTATGCAAACTCTCGCTTGTCAACTCTCATGCAACTCGTGTTCTTATTTGATCAAGCAATGAAAGTTGAGAAAACTCTCATGTAAGCTCTCGCTTCTCAACTCTCGTGCAACTCTTTGTTCTTGTTTGACCAAGCAATGAAAGTTGAGAAAACTCTCATGCAAACTCTCGCTTCTCAACTCTCATGCAAACTCTCATGAAACTCTCATGCAAACTCTCATGCAAACTCTCAGTCTCATTTGACCAGGGCTTTAGTCATATGTGAGCAGAGTTATTCCAGTTCGTCCTACCGACAACATCTCAGATTTTCTCCAGGTAATCCGATTTCCTCCTGTTGTAAAACTGAACCTTTCATACATTAGCCTTACTGGAGCTCAGTTTGTGGTTCGTTTCTCTGTAATTGCCATGTGTCAACAGAATATTGTCTTGAAAGTAGTTGTTTAAAGATGGAAGAATATATCTTGAACCTGTAAAGAAATGTGGATATTGTAACGGTAGAACAATCGCTTCTCTCAGAGTATTCTTGGCTTCCTCCAATCCTGCGACATCTGAAAACTTTACGTAACCTTTGCTTAGGATTGTATCTTCTATCGCAACACGCCGACTGCAAGAACATTAGGAAAATTAATGATTATAGAAATGAGAAAATACTGTCAAGCTATTGCCATGTACATACGTAAAAATCTCGCAACTTGTCAACAAGACGTGTTCGCAACAGGCTTGTAGCAAGCTTGTCAACAAGTTGTAACAATGCTGTTATTTTATCAAGTTGCTACAAGGTTGTCACTCACAACTTGTTGACAAGTTGTTGAATTGCAGGACGATAACAAGTTGTTGGAACAACTTGTAACAAGTCTGTTGAGTTCAACAACCTTGTAGCAAGTTGTCAAGAAGCCGTTGACAAGTTGTCAACAAGCTGGGAACAAGCAGTGCGAACACATCCTGTTGACAAGTTGTTGGAACAGCATTGCTACAAGTCTGCTGCAGGTTTGTTACAACTTGTGCGTTTTTACGCGAGTACAACCAACATGCAGAGCATGACTCGTTAGGTTGACAGTTTTAATATCATGATATAATTTTATGAACCTCCGTTCTTGACCATCACCATCTTTTTCGTTTGAGCTTTTCACTCCATCTTCGAAGAAAAGAAAGACAATGATTACAAAATACATATCTTCTCTAGCAAACAATATATTTATAAAATCTAGTCTTCGCCAATGGCAAGCAGGGAATGTGTGGCGTTTTCCTGTGCGTGAGAGAGTGTGATTGACTTCGTGGCTTACTCTAATGGTGCATGTGTCCGAAGTAGGTAAATATGCAACTCTGACCTGTTGAAGTGTTTTTAACTCCTGTTGATAACTGTTCTTTTTTCTTCACCAACAACTTCGTATGATGATGTAATGAATTGCTCACTTGCTCTAACGCCGCCTGAAATAGTTTGAAGCTCAATAATAAGAGGCAATCTACTGAACTTCAGACATCATATTCTCTTTGGCGTAACATCTAAAATCTCTTCATTGTAGCATTATTTTACAGATAAAGCACTAGACATTCTTTTTAAGTTTGTTTGCCGATTAAGAAACGTATCGAAAAATAAGAATGTTGACTATACTACTATAGTCATAACCGCAAGTGGTATACTACTCATTAGTTTTGAGCGCGTGTTACGTAACATACAAAAGCTCAACACACACAAAAAATCATCATCTTAGAATACATTGATATCGAAGGAACTAGACTCAGTTCCGAAATATCATCAACTGAACCGACTTGACCTCGGAGCTCAGTTGGTAGAGCATTGGACTAGTATCCCAAAGATCAAGCAAACTTTTCAGCTTGCCCGGTGTGGATGCACACTCAGAATAACATCACAAACATCGTACAAAAAACTCTTATATATATAGACTATATACGGTATCGTTGTCTAAAGATAATATTGATGATAATAAACGTCTAAAGAGAACAAGAAAGAGCGAAGGAAGGAAGGAAGGAGCTCAGCAAACCCGGAGAAGAAGAATGAATGAACTTCAATGCTGAAAATAAAAGCTATCAATTTCGTACCAATCTGATATTGTTGTGTTCCATAGAGAGTAATGCATCGAGACTGTTCATACAATTTGTACAATTTGAAATAAGGTTGTCAATGTCCACATTCTCTGTTTTCTGACACTCGCAAGCCGCTTCCTCTATCCTGGGAAATAGATTATTAATAAGATGTCAGTTCCAAATTACTGTTTCATCATTTGTCAGCTATCAGTTAAGATATTTTGTAAGATGTCATTTCCAAATTACTGTTTCATCATTTGTCAGCTATCAGTTAAGATATTTTGTAAGATGTCATTTCCAAATTACTGTTTCATCATTTGTCAGCTATCAGTTAAGATATTTTGTAAGATGTCAGCTCCAAATTACTGTTTCATCATTTGTCAGCTATCAGTTAAGATATTTTGTAAGATGTCAGTTCCAAATTACTGTTTCATCATCTGTCAGGTATTAATACTGTGAACTCAATTCAGAGCGTCATTAAATGGACAAAAACACTCGGGCTATGGCCTCGTATTCACAACTGAATTGTCCATATTGAGGCGAATTGAATATTTGATATTTAAATTCTTGAAAATTAAACCTGCATTAACATTTTTTCTTACCATGAAACAGCATCTATAAAATAAAAAGAAACCTATTGTTAAAAAACTGGAATTTTACAGTTGACTAGAAAAGAAAAAAAAACTTATGAAAAACAGTCAACCTTTGCACAAAAAACTATAGTCATGTGTTTAATATACTATACTTACGTTCGTACGTGGAGTTTAAAGACATTTTCCTGGTGAATTCACGCGTAAAACTAAAAAAACAAACAGAAAAAATAAAAGTTTTCGAAAAAATAAATTTCGAAAAAAGAACACCAGTTTTTTGCAGAACATTCTGCGCATGTCACGTATACGAAGTGGGAAGAAAATTTTAGGAATTTTTGCATGGCGAAAAATATTTGATTTGTTTTGCAGAAAATACCACTTTATTTATTACGCAAGGTAGATATACGAACAGATAAACGTTAAATTAATGAACGAAATATATAAACGGAGTGTAATCACGAATTTAAACGAAATAAATAAATATTTGAACGTGGTGCTTTTCCACAAAAGCAAAACAATTCAAAAATATTATCTGGAAGTGGAAACATAGTTGGAGAGAAAAGCAATATGGCCGCGGCCGAAGAGGAAGGGAAGACTGGATTAAATCGTTTCGAAGCCCTTGAACAATCCATTGAACAGTTTATTGAATCCACAAGACAAATTGGGATTATTGTGAGTGATTTTCAGCCTGGCAGTCAGGGTGTGCTTAACCAGAAAATGTAAGAAATAGGAGAACATATTTTGTGTATAGTGTTGTCTACTTGTCTAGTTTATATAAACAATAGATTTCGCCGTTGTCTGTTCAGAGGAAGAACAAAAAAGTGGAGCACGAGCCGCCGAGGCGAGTGGGTTGACATATTGTCATACTGTGTGTCTATAAGGGGGCAAGGGGCCGTGTCCATAGAGATTTAGGGAGATTATAAATAACACTAGAGGAGGCATTGTAATCTTAATTCAGTAAAAAAAGGGAACGCGACTATTGGGGGGCAAATTCATGTCCCGGATGTGTATTTGTGTTCCCATTGGTGACGAGTTTCAAATCAGCCAATGAGAGCACGATTTTATATCCGGGACTTGAATCCCCCCCCCCCCCCCCCCCCCCCCCCCTAGCTGCGTTCCCAATTTTTAAACTCGATACCTCCTCTAGTGTTATTTATGATCTCCATGGCCACGTTCATGTTGATGTTGCCACAAATAATGTCGAATCGACGTTATTACTTCACCCACCCATCCTCTCCAGATAATGTCGATTCGACGGTATTTGTGGCAACATGAATATGGACATGGCCCCTAACTGGACAGGCAACGGTTAATCTTTTCTATTTGTTTGTGAATAAATTTCATCCTATGCAGCAATGAAATTTCAAGTAATTTGGCGATGCTTATTTTAACAGCAATGCCATTGTGGAAAGTCTGAAAGAAATTGAAAAATGTAAAGATAATTTTCATAATGTTGAAGTTCCAATGGACGTTTTCTCGTAAGTTGAGAAATCCTTAAACTTTCAAAAATGTATCTGAATTTCCCTTGTACTGGCGTGCACAATGTAATTGTTCCTGTTTCCCACCTAGGTATATTGATGAAGGGAAGAATCCCCAATTGTACACAAAGGATTGTTTAGAAAAAGCTTTGGCTCAGAATAAGGAAGTTAAAGGGAAAATTGATGCTTATCAGGTAGAAATAAATGCTAGCGAAAGTCTAAACTAACTTTATTTATACTGGATAGTTCTATCAGTTCTAAACTGTTCTTCCTAGAGGTTCAGTAAGGATGATCTCTTATTGATCCAGTGTTACTATCGGAAGAAATGTAAACTAAACTAACTTTATTTATACTGGATAGCTCTATCAGTTCTAAACTGTTCTTCCTAGAGGTCCAGTAAGGATCATCTCTTATTGATCCAGTGTTACTACAGGAGGAAACCTAAACTAAACTAACTTTATTTATACT